AATAATAATAATAACAAGCGCTTGTAATAATAATAATAATAATAACAATGCAAATTTTGTGCTTTGTATTTCAGTTTATGTACAAATTTGGTTATTTTATAAGGCTAATAAGTTTTATTTTTCTGCGCAAATTATTGAAAACGTATGTATCACATTATGCCCAAATATTTCACTATTAAAGTATTACAAATCAGATATAATTTCAAGTCGACAAATTGAGTTTGCTTGAATCAGCTTACTTTTATGGATATCAAGTACACTCGAATATTCTGCAAGTTCATTTTTGTTCTGAAAACACCAATAATAAAGACTTAAGTTGCAATGTTGATTTACTAATATCATAACATTTTTTTGAATTTTTCTGAATGATTAAATTTTGTTGAATAATCTAAGTGCTTTTAAAATGAATATTTGCTGACACAAGAGGATTTATACATACATATATAGAAATAATTGCCTGTATAAGTAGTTAAGCTAAGCAAACAAAAAAGCATATTTTACATTACTTAATATTCATGAAGAGTAACGAGTCATTGAAAATAATCACAAAATGCTGATACAGAGGTAGGTCAAAGTTCAGTTTATGGTAATGGATATATTACAAAACTTGAAATTAAATCTGAACGATTTTTTGTATGATTGGCGAGGAATATTTGTTAGATTTGATAAAGTTAAAAACCTTTTGATTTAATAGCTATAAATTCCTTATTTTAATTTCCAACTAGTGATTCAAAATTTGTAAAATTACTTAATTGAATAACAGGAGCAATCTTTATCGTACGTATCTTGAGCTTTCTTGTAATCCGAATAAAATTTAAAAAAGCCCGTACGGTAAAGGGCATGACGATTACTGTACAGAGTGGGATAATGAGCATTCGTATCTACAAACAATTTACATAGATTGTTCCTGCATATGAGATGCAGTGAGAGAGCAGGTAATCACGATATAGTAATTAAGTTCAAGCCAAATATCAATTAGCAATCATGAATATATTAAGTGTTTTATTTGGTCCATCTCAGTACTTCGCAGTAACTGCTAAAATTTCTTGCTCTGAGAATTTGTAAGCAAAGCTTCTTCTCCATTGACAGATGAAGGATTTGCTGTGTTCATTTGCACACTGAAGTTTTCATTCTGGCAAGAACAGTTATTAGTGCAGTCTACTGCTTCTTAAAGCAGCTTCTAAATGAATTATTCCTTCGAGTATACCAAATCTTTCATCTCTCAATTTACATATATAAATAGAGGCGAAAATTTGGCTGCAGAATGAGATCGACAAAACACTTGGAGTTCATTCACAGTTCAAAGGACAGTTCAAAGGAGAAGCGGAATTGGAAGAAGTGTTTTAGATCGCTTATTGTGATGCCGATGAAGTATCTGACAAGAAATACGAGTTAAACAGAAATTGAAATCAAGAAGTACTAAAGAGTGCAACTGGTCGAAGTGAAGTTAACACGTCCGAGTAATTGATGCTAATTGGATGAAGATGAGGATCTGAATTCTACAACGATCTCATTGTATCATAGCAGAAAATAAACTGTGTTACGGTTCTAGAAGTAAGATGTTTGAAGTACTCACTCTGCAATATTTTTAACAAAATAAGTTTCAATTAATAAACAGTATATCTTCAGTTCACGGATTTCCAAAAGCGTTTGACGTTGTAGTTGTGAGAATAAACTTGCTCTACTGCCTGGTTTTAATCAGTCCGAATTTATTAAACTGCTTCGTCAATATTGAGAAATGATTCCGCATCCTATTTATTCGTAACATGCACAGAAAAGTAGAGGAGAAGGAAACATAGAAAAAGAAATGCTTAGTCGAATATAGCTTTTTTATGCGATACTGATAAGATTAAAACCAACGTATTAAGCAGCTTTGGCTTAAGACTTGCATCTTTTTATGCTTAAAACTAGACCAATTTGCTGTTTGGATTCTAGGACGGACGTGAGAAGCGTGTTAGGATGTAGGATGAGCCTAGTTTCGAGTAGCATTTAATACTTAACTGTAATCACGTGAAATGCTCGACTTTACTGCTCTGCCATTTTTACAAGAACCGCAACTAATAGATAATATAGATTTTTTTGTTTATTAATTAAAACATTATTATGATCAATCGTTTGTTCTAGTTTGTTTTGTGTCGGACATCTTTTCTCAAAGATCATAAGAGTTGTTAACGAATGTAGTTACAATAATTTGGCTTGTGAATTTTGTACAATAAATCGATGCATACAGTTTGTAGCTTTACTCAAATCAGTATCTATGATCGCAAGTTTTGAAACGTGCAAAATGTTATGCTTACAACTGTTCAAGTATGAATAATTAAAAATCTAATAATTTTTTGACAGACATATTGTATCGTTTTCATCAAAAGCTAAAAGGAACATTATAATTCTGTATCTAATGTTGCAAGTCATTATCTGAGTACTTAATTTATGACAGTTTGTTTTTTCAAAATATTTGTTCAAAAAATAAGAACTCTGAATTTCATCAAAAAAGTCTGAATCTCAACAATATCAAAAAATCTCAATCTCAACAATATCAAAAAAGTCTGAATCTTAACAATATCAAAAAAGTCTGAATCTCAACAATATCAAAAAATCTGAATCTCAACAATATCAAAAAAGTCTGAATCTCAACAATATCAAAAAAGTCTGAATCTCAACAATTTTCAATCAGTGAGTTGAAGAATTTGCTTGAATCCAGAATTATTATCTCTCGGTTAGTTCTTATCGCAGTCAGAAGAATAATTACTGAAGAAGGTTTTGTTCCAAAATTAACAAGTAAAAGCAAAGGTTTCAGAGCGGATGAAGTTCATTTTACCCGTTCCGTGAGTTCAACTCATTAAATAGTAAACTCCGCTTCGCTGCACGAACTAATTTTAAATTTGGTAACAGCAGATGACTTGTTGAATATGCTAGCTTGCACCACAGGGATTGAAATCCTGTCTGAATAGATTTCCGAAAACTTGTAAAGTTTTTTCGAAGCTAAACGAACATATAATTTTGTTAGTGCTTGTAATGAGTTTTGTTGCAATAAAAGGAACTGTTTTATACTGACCAAATCATTTGCAGAGGACAGTATATCACGTTTGAAGTCACTTAAATATATGTAGATTAACAAAATTATTTTCTAGGCTTCAGTCTTTCTTGCATATTTCATGGTAAATTTCAAAACAGTAGAGTATTTAGATGAACTAATTCAAGTTTCTCATTCAGTTATGCGAAGAATATAGAAACACTTGTCATTCAACTTGCGACCACTTCTTATGAAGTGGTCGCAAGTTTATCCCGTACATTGCACAATTACGATAAAATTGATTTCTGAATAGTATGTAATAAAAATAGTGCAAGAATAGCTTACTCTTGAGTGAGGTGTGATTATTTTCTTCCGTAATAGATATGATACAAATGCAATGTAGCGGTAATCATCAGTACACAACGCATAATAGCACATTTGAACTCTACAAAAACTTTCGTCAATTGCAGATACTGAAAAACATTGACATTGCGACCATCTCATCACTTGCTAGT